TTAATTATGTAGTCTTAATGATTGCTGTTCCTCCAGAATGCACAGAAATGCATTAATTATTAATTGATAATGTCTCATACAAAAATGCTGTGCCTACCAAATGCATATGTAAAGTAAAGTTCCTACCCAAAATTGGGGTCATTTTATGATGGGCAGTGAAAAAAGTATAATCTTTTATTTGCTCTTCATATATTAAATAACAATATTTTGAAAAATAATTCTCATCAACCTTATACTTTCTCATAAGGTTAAAGTTCTTTTCTTTGAAAATATTATAGTTTTTTTCTTCTATTACCCCATACTTTCTGCTTAATTCTGAAATTTCCCATGATAAAATGTCAATCCAGTCCATGTTTCAAATGCTCAGGCAATTACTAACAAAAATATTAGTTATCATTAATTAATTGAATTCATGGAACACATATATTGGTTGCACATATTCATATTATGCAAATTTTGATGTATTATTTTCCCATTATATCAATGTAGGCTATGAAAATCCTACAAACAAAGGCAGAAGAATCCTCAAAAGAAAGATACAGAATGATGAGAGCAATGTAAAGGAAAGGTAATTTGTAATTAGGAAACTTGACAGTCCATTAGTATGCTAGTTAATTATACAAACAATTTGAAGCGTTACTTTTTACTTGAAAGTAATGCTATTTAGTTATAATTTTAAATTCATATGGAAACATATTAACTGATTCTAAGGTTTTAAGATTAGTGATTATTCCTGGGTATAATTTCCATTTGTACAACAAAAACTTGGATATCTGTATTTGTCATTAAACTATAAGGCATTAATAAAATCAATATTAATTATATGATCTTTATAATCATCTTCTTTTATGTTTTTTATGTTAAGTGTTTTATTATTTTCTTATTTTAGATATTCACTTAGGACCAAGGAGACTGGCGAAATTCTTAAGAGAAAGTATGCTGATGAGAGCAGTTTCACGGAAAGGTATAATTAACTGTCAAATTCTTAAAGAATGTAAATGAATATTATTCAAATTATGTTCAGGTCTTACCCACTGGTCCTTAAATGGAGCCTCAGCCAGAAGTCAAAGTTCAACAAGGGCAGTAATCGGTACTGAGCTACTGTAACAAATATTTACATTGATCATTTGGGTCATAATTTGAGACACAGCCAGGAGTTCACTTCAATAGAAGCCTGATAAGAACAAGTACTCAGCAACAAAAATCTGTTTTCACTAACATTTGAAATGGCTTTGATGTGCAATTCGAAAACATCCAAGACCCAGGGTCATTTACAGAGCCACGGTTAGGTGTACAGTTAAACTTAGGCTATGCTATAATCATATTGAACAACCAGAATGCCCCAATAAGGATCTTCACCATTTTAAAAGTGGATATCTCTCGATTAAATGTTCCCCAAAGGTGTATTTTTTTTCTTTTTATGAAATTAATGTTATTTCTTATCTAGGGAGAAATCATGATGGTTAAGTAAAAATAAGTGAGTAATCAAGGCCCACCTGCCTTTTGTTAAATGATAGTACAATATATTTCGCTTAATATCACTTCTCATTTGTCAACTAAAACCATGACATTAACTGGAAAAACACATAAATAGAAAACATGTTTTTCTGACAATTTCAGGTGTCAAAACCTGGCAATGACCATGTTTAAATGTTGAAGTGATATGGTTTTAGCACAGACTTAGATAGCATTTTTCCATGGTTTTTATCTAATAATCATAATTATTTTTGATTTTCAGTCAGCCACTTGTGACAGCAGATCACGACCAAACGAAAGACATTGGTGTGCAAACAGATTTGGAGACTGTCAGTTCAAGTACGCAGTGGTGTGAAAACAGTCTACAAGATCATGGATACCATGTACAAGTACCAGGCAATTGTGTTAGCCATTGTGATGCCAGTACTCAGACACTATCAAAATTACATGTATCAAAAGGTGTAAATTGTACAACAACTCATGTAAACATGTCTTGTGAAAAGCTGAATACAGATTCAGAGTCTCGTCTGTATACAGGTCTATTTTTACAAGCAATTGTCACTCTTGTGCATGTTTTCCAAACCATGGAATTACCCTTCAAATTCACAATGAATGTGGGAGACCAGCTACTCTTGTTTTTGATGAGACTGAGACTTAATCTTCTTTTTGCAGATTTAGGCCATAGATTTGGCATCAGTCAGTCAAGCTTCAAAAATCTTTAATTGTTGGTTGCCAGTTATTAGTTGTAAGCTTCAACAATTGATTGTGTGGTTACCCCGGGAAACCATATGTGCAACTATGCCATCAGCTTTCAAGGAGAAATATCCCAAAACTACAATTGTCATAGACTGTGCAGAAACTTTCATGCAGAGACCAAAGAATTGTAAGACAAGGGGTGAAACATACAGTCGTTATAAATCACACAATACAATGAAGTACTTGATAGGTATTGCTCCTCATGGTCAAATTATGTTCATTTCTAAAGGCTTTGGTGGAAGAGTTAGTGACAAGTTTATAGTAGAAAAGTCTGGTTTTCTGCAATATCTGTTACCTTGAGATGAAGTAATGGCTGACAGAGGTTTTACAATTAATGACTTATCATTTCCACTTAAAGTTAAACCCCGTGCCGAATATATATTTTTCCTATACAAGTATACACTTTTTCGTTTTTATATATCAGTTAGTACATGTTATAAAGTAAACAAACACATTACAAATATTTAAATAATTATTGGAATTTCTCCTTCATGAACAGAAATAGCCGTAATTTAAAAGCCAATGCATTTTTATTTCCTATCAATATATTTTAAGATTGAATAATTTCTACTTAAATGGTTTCTTAATTATCTTTTGTTAATCTGTCCTTAATTAATAGCTTTGGAATTTCTAAATTTTGTATGATTTTCTTCACCTATTTGAATTGACTTTTTTCAACTTGATAAAACTGATATATATGCTTCTTTTGTTTTGTGTTATTAAAATAACTTGATATTCCTATGACTTGAAAGGGAAAAAATAATTTTCTTTAAAATCTGAAGTGTGCCATTTGAAATATTCCACAGTAAAGTTGCATGATCCCTCTCCTTCCACACTGCATGTCCTTACCCTGTTCCCTACAGAAACCTTATATATATATGTACAGCTCAGTATATACATCAGTTAAATTAGAGAATTCCAATTTTTTAAATCACATTTTTTTTAATATTTTCTCTTTGTCTAGATGATAACAAGAGCTGTGCACACTGATGGGGTAAAAAAATACAGACATAAACAACAGATGAAGAAGTCTCAGCTCCACCTCATGAGTCTTTTATAGTGGTCAATGAACCGCCCCCTCAACCACCTGCTGCAAAGAGAATTTGTGCCGAAACAAAATCAAACAAAGGTAAGTTCATTGATTTAAGGTACTGATTTTGTGATCTTTTGTTTTAGCTTTTGTAATCTCATAAGTCTCCTGTCTTTTGTCTTACCTCATCGGGTGCCCTTATAGTAATCAGGTTGTCCGTCTGTCTGTTCATTTTTTTTCTTTTGCACGATATTGATGGAAGTAAATGGAGTAAGTTTTTTAAATTTTACGTAATGATTTCCCATGAATCCTAGTTCTGCTTGGTAATTTTTCGGGCAGATCTGATTCAAAATGGCTGCTAATCAGCCAATAATTTAATTTATTACTGGATTTTAACATTAAAAAATATTTTTTTGCTCTTTAATTACTGGTAAACATTTTGTAATGACATTATGAAGCAAAGTTGGTCACAATACAACAAGAAGTCAACTTATCGAAGGTCAATGTCATTGGATCCAAGGTCATATTTTGTATCTTTTAACTGCTTAACAATTTATTATGACATGATGAAGCAAAGTTGATCAAAATTAAACAAGGAGTCAACTGACCAAAGGTCATAGGTCAAGGTCACTGGATCAAAGGTTAAGGTCAAATTTTGTAGCTTTTCATGAATGAGCATTTTATGACATTATGAAGCAAAGTTGGTCGGAATTTAACAAAGAGTCGCCTGATTCAAGGTCAAAGGTAAAGGTCAAATTTAGTATCTTTTCACTGGTGAACATTTCTTTATGACACTTTTTACTGATGAACATTCTGTTATGTTATTATAAAGCAAAGTTGGTCGCAATTAAAGAATAAGTCAACTGACCAAAGATCATGGTCACTTGGTTAAAGGTCAAGGTCATTTAGGTCCAAAGGTCAGAGACAAAGTGGATCTCTTGACTTTGACCCCAGCTCTTGTTGTGGAGGTATTTAAGGTGAAATAAAACAGATCAAAGCCAAAATGAGTAGTGCACTGGTATTGACATTTCTACACTAGGGGAAATTAGTTAGAATATTCATAAGCAATCACTGACAGATTTTGCTATTACATTTATATAGATGTTATATACCATAAACACACAATGAACTGAAGAGCTTTTCTTTTTGAATCTCTTAACACCATATCGTAAATATATTAGCAATCCGATCAACTGTTACAATGCTATTATGTTGTGTCAAGGTAAGCAATTAGAGGTAAACATGTTGCTTAAAATTCTTGTTTACTCCCTGCTTGTTTAGGAGACTCATTTTAATTGCAAAATTATATTATTTTGTAAATTGTGTTATTGCTCCTTATCTTGACAGATGGTGGAGCTTATACCTGGGACTGGGGTTTATGTGTATCCCAAACACATAAAAACCGCAAGGAAGACGAAGGAGAACAGGTCGCCAGATATTTGATGTCAGTGTTCTACACCAACACTGAGCTGGTCAACCTGGGAAACCTTTCTGGGTGCAACGGAAAGGAAGGTTTGAACCAGACCATTGTTGGAGCAACAATTGGTAATTATGAATGAAAACTTTTCATAACAGCACAAAAGAAAAGAGTTCTAAAGCAATTCTCTTTATGTAGTAGTAATGTCACTGAAATTACAAAAGTATCGCTATAGCTACTTGAACTGATTAATGGTGCCTGTCAGTGAATACTAAATAGCAAGTTTACCATAAAATGCTGCCGATGTAATTTCACCATTCATATTCATTAATTCCTAGAATTTTAAGCGATGAAGAAAGAACTAAGGAAATTTAATAAAGTTGCAATTATGTTACTAGCTATTTTTCCTAATTCATCTGCTTTTCAACAGATTATGCTGAGGCGATTCATGGGAAAAGTGGCC